AGAGAGACCTAGGGAGGAGAGGGGTGACAGAGAAAGGAGAAAGAAAAGGAAGGAAGATGGGAGAGAGTCGGGGAGACAGAGGGCAAACTAGTGCAGTGCAGCCCCAGCTGTGCAGGAAGCCGCTGGAAAGAGCAAGAGTTCACAGCCTCGCGGAGGGAACCAGCCCCAGCCCAGCGAGTCAGCAGCAGTAATCACGCTAGGGGCTTTGCTTAATTACAGGCTCCAGAGCTGGGTCTGGAAGAGGGAGATACTTAGCTGTGTCCCCGGCTAGGCTGGGCACTGGAAGGGTTTGTAAGCCTGGGAGATATAAATACCCCACCTCCACCCACCCCCAAGCCAGGAGCCAGGACCGTGGAGGATAGGCTGGGGGCTGCAGCAGGGCCAGCCCGACACCGGTTCCAGGAGCAGCTTTCCCTGTTCACTTGGGACAGGAGTCCCTGTGCTGGTCAGCCAGAAAGCCACAGGCCTGGGGAGGCCCCGCCTGGGCCTGCAGCAGGCCCATCTTCCCTCCTCTACACTCACCGGAGGCCTGGGGCCCTGGTCACCCAAAGGGGGAAAATCAATCCCAATCCTGTGCTAATGAATAAAAAGTCCCCTTTATTTCACTGCTGTTTTTGGTTCATTAAATTTTCCACAGATTTGCAGAGAAGAAAACATAATCAATAAACCCTGACAAAAGTGAATGTGTGAGAAAGGCCAGAGAATGGAAAAGCGAGATAAAAGTGATATCCGATCACAGATTTCCGAGGCAGATGACGAGCTCTGGCTGCTGAAGAATCTCAATGGGCCATCGCCCCTCCACTGCTGGCCTTCCATTTGCTGCAACTCCTCATTCAAGACAATAGGAAAAGCACTAAAACTGTTTTTCTTATGCTAATAGCTGAAACCCGGCACTCAGTTAAAACACACTTCCCAGGGACCTGCTTTTTTTTTTTTTTTTTCTTAAACAACACACATGTTCACACACACAAAACCATATTAACTTGTTCCATTAAAACTCAAATCTCAAAGAAACAGTTTAACACGTACTTTTTGGTCACATCTTAAATGAGTATGTATGTACGTTTTTAAAAAACCAGAAACAAAACCTAAACTGGAACATTAGGGATTCTTTCACTGATGAAAGAATTGGGGGAAAATAGGACGCTAAACATGCAGAAAGTATGCTGTCTTCATCCATGTGTTTTTCCCAGGTTTTTAAATGTAGTTGTGTAGATTAAGGATGTTTTGCTGCTCTCAAAATCTAAAAAAAGGACCAATGATTTGCTTTTGAAAATCTTAAAATATTCCACAGTAAACCCTCAGATTAACTTTGGAGAAAATGATTATTACCAAAACTGGTGTTACGTGTTTCTTTGAAAACCACAAATGTATCGAAGGTGTTTCTCTATCAAAGCACACTAGCAATCGTCACTGTCTGTGACCCTTTTCCCAATCTGCTTTTAAACAGCGAGCAGTTTGTCCTCGCCCAGTTCTTTGGAAGCGAGAGAGCCTCACACACTGAAATTGCTGGGCATTCAGGCTGTCGGTACCTTTTCTGCCTCTCCGAATTTTCTGGAATCTGAGAACATTGTTTCTCTCTTTGGCATTCTTTACATGTTTCATTTGTCCCTGCCTCTGACACTTACTGAAAAGAAGAAAGGAGGCAACTGCTTCCCCAGGGCTCCTTTTCAAAGGGCCCTGGTCCAGCGGGCACAGCTGCAGCTGTCCACAGCGAGGTCCACCTGGCCTGGGTTCCCTTGTCCCTCAAGCACCAGGAAACAGGGTCTGGCACAGGTAGATGCCCCTCCCCCAAGCCCAAAGTAGCTAGGCCGTTCATTCCTTCTCCCCCAAAGGCCAGGCACAAAAAGGAAGCTGGCTGAACACACATTCCTGGACCAACCAGCTGCCTGGTCCGCAGACGCACAAGGACACAGGACTCCGGTTTTGAGTTTTAACAAGCCAGCTGGGTGTAAGGGGGTCACACCGGCTTTCAAAGTGCGCACGACAACCTCCTGGTCTCATTTAAAGGGAATTGCCGGCATCTCTGCACTGAAGTTTTCCCCTGGGGTGGCCAAAGGGGGCCCTGATGCAAGAAGGGTGTTTATAGGCAAATATCCAATTTTGTCTGTCCGCCTGCTGAATCCCCCGGTTGCTAATCCAACCCCAGGGGCTGCACTGTGTACAGGGCACTTGTGGGAGTACAAAAAGCGTGAAGTATTTGTGTATTTTTCAGTCTGCAGTGCAAACAAGCGAGCTCTAGTACACAGCCCTGGAGACCCCCGCAGCCAGGCAATGAGCTGCTGACCGGCAGCCTGAGGCCCCCTCTTCTGACCAGGCAACTCAGAGGACTTCCTCTCTGTTCAGTGCTCTCCAGAGTGGGCTGGAGCATCCTGAGAGAGGGAGAGGGCTCAGCTTCAAAGTGGGCTGAGTTGAGAGCTTCTCCGAGGCCTCGACTGGGGCCACTGCAGTTTGGGAGCCGTCTGGAGGTCCCAGTTCAAGGAATCTGAAGCCTGAGCAAACTTGGGCCACATCAACTCCCACAGAGGAGAAAAACAACCCTCACAGTCCCACCGTGTGGCTCAGTGAGCGGGCCCTGCCTTGAAAGGGGTTTTCTTCCCCTTCCTTGGTCTCACCAGCTGACTTTGCAAACAAATCACTCAGAACAGTCTGTCGGGTGCAAGGCTGGTTCACCGAGGGCTACCGCCAGGGCAGGTGGGCTCCTCTAAATGCCCCTTGTTCCCAGCATTAGTTTAAATCCCAATGGCATCAGAAACAACCTAGGAAATTGGCACAGTTGTCAAAGCAAAGGGGAAACACAAAACCACCCTAAATCTTACAAAATATAATTAAAACTCATTGGACAAATGACAACTTTCCATACAGCTGGCTCTGAGGAGAATGTGTATGCTGAAGTCTCCACAACTTCTGGAACCCTCAAGAGAACAAGCAAACCTAGGAAACTGAAAGCAAGAAAGATGAAGAAAGAGGAGCCCAAGCAGTGAGGCCCTGTGGGGAGCATCTGTAGGGCCCAGATTCCACATTCTGAAACTACTCTCCCCGGAAGACCAGGAGCTTGAAGAAGGCTAAAAAGCATCAAAACTCAAACTAATCAGGCATGGCCAGGAGCCCCTTCCGCCCCTTGGGAAGATCAGCCCGGGCAGGTACACAGTGAATTTCCCCCAGACTGAGCAACTGTGGAGCTGCACCCAGGCCCAGGGAAGGCCTGCTCCCAGACACACAGAAGCCAGAGCAAAGGAAACTCCCAACCAAGGTAAGGAAATGGGCGGGGAGGGGGCTCCTTGGGGAGGTGGCTAGAACAAACAGATCTCATCAGGGAGACTCTGACAAGCCCGCCTATTCCGCTGCTATCCCCCGCTGTATATTTTGGATTTCACAGTTTATTTACTTTACTTTTTGGCACCGCGCCCCCCTGAGCATGCCAATACAATATTTGTTTAAACACTATTTTATGCCGCTTGCGAGGGAAACGTTTACTTTCAAATTCTCCAACAGCCCCCAGAGCCTCGTCTGCAAACAGCATATGAGCATTTTACAACTGCTCCCTTTATCTGAAGCTGTTGGGATTAAACCTTCACACGCCCGGCAAGGGCGACAGGGCAGGGGCCCAGGACAGTGCGGTGGCCACCGCGCTGCAAAGCCCGGGCCACAGGCTAGGCACCCAGAAGGATGCCCTGGCTCGGAGTCCCAGAAGCACGGAAAACACCTCCAAGGCGCAGGACCTGACTGTAGGAGAGAGGTCTACTTTCCCAGCTGGGTTCAACTCTGGCAGTCACAAAACATTTACCACAAAAAAGAGGTCAAGGGGAGAAGCACCCGGTGGGGACGGAGGTACCCCAGGACCCTGTGCATCTTAGCGCCCCGTCACGCGCCTTGGAGGGCCCGGTCACCCGGGGTGAGGCGTGCGGGTTCTATCCCTAGCTCTTCGCGCTATAAAAGTCGGGTTTCCTAGGAAATGACAGCAATTACTGCCGGGCTGAAAAGGCGCCGAGCTGGGTGGATTTCCAGCTCGCCGGAGCGGCGGGCGCGCTCACACTCACACACGCACGCACACGCTCCCTTCCCCCACCCCGCCCTACGCCCCCCACCCCGCCCGCGTCCCGGGAAAACGCTCCCCTCTCTAAACCCTTAATAGGATTGGCGCCCAACTCTCTCCGCGCCTCTCCCCATCCATCACACACAGATCAAGTTGCAGTAGTGGATTTTTCAAATTCCTCAGCAAATATACTTGTTGAGAGATTGTCCCTGGGGGGCTGGGAGGGAAACGATGAGTGGGGGGCGGGCATGAAAATGAGGAGTGGGGGAACCGGTGCCCGGGCTAGGATTTCTCGCGGATCTCTTCGTGAAGTCAATCAGATCTCGGGACCGAGAGCAGGAGAGGAGGAGGAAAAAGGCCAGAAACGAAGCCAGAGAGAAGTGCCCTGCCGAGGGGGAGGGGGCGACAGGGCCCGACGAGGGGGAGGAAGGAGCGAGGAAGAAAGAAAGGCAGGGCTCCGGAACGCGCAGCGCGAAGAAGTGAGTCAGAAGTTCACAAGCGGCCGGCTACAGCCCCTCCGCGCACAGCACACTCCTGCAGACTTTCCAACTGGCCCCCTACGGGAGCTTCAGAGCATCCTAGCCTCCGATCCCACCCACCACCACCACCTTCCGTAAAACCACCTCCCCTCCCCTGCCCCAGCGCGAGCGACCCGACCGCCCGTCAGTGCACCCCAAGAGAAACGCTTTTCCCCCAGGTAGAGACGGAGGTGCAAAGTCGACCCCCGGCCACGAGTTCCAAGATCCTTCTTAGGTCCTCTCCCTTATGGGCCAGAGCCAGAAGTGGGGTCGCCCCACTAGCCTCTAGTCCTCCGGACCCGGGGTCACGATCCCGCGCGGTGCCGCTGGTACCCGGGCGAAGGACCCTCTGGAGACGGCGCAGCATCCCAGTCGGCCAGCGCTTGGCCCAGACGGAAGGCGCTTCGCAGGGAAAAGCAAGCAAAAGAAGGCCAATGCAACTTTACCGAGGAGACAAAAGTTTGCCTCTAGCACGCAGGTGGCCTCTCGGGCGCCGGGCAGTGGTTGCAGGCCCCCATTCCAACTTGGCTGGCGCGGCGACCCTCCGCGGGCGGCCGTGCGCCGGGGCTCTGGATGGCCCCGGGTGGGGCGGGCAGGCAGGGGAGGGGACCCACGCGGCGGGGGC